AACGTTAATTATTTTTAAATTTTTTTTTTATCCATATATTCAAAAAAATATGAATATGAATATGAATCAAATTGTCTTTCATTTTTTAAAGTATCCCTTTTCATATAACCATAAATATCTCCATAAAACTATTGCTATCATACTGTTCGAAACATTACTATGGAGAATAATTGATATCGATTATGGCATTTATTTATTCATGTTTAGTTTAACTATTGCAATTTATTTGGAAGCTAACAAAGACCATTTGAAGTCACTTCATCTTGTATTTAATAGATACTCTATTCTATCACCGTTATTAGGAATATTTTTATTGTTAGCATCAATTTGTTATATTTTATATGGTTATTGGATATCCTTTATTATGGCTATTAGTGGTTTAATTTATACCAGCATGTTTTTTATACCAAAAATGATTTCACCATTAGATATTTGGGTTCTTTTAATTCGAGTTTTTGGTTTAAGTTTATATTTATATATATTTCCTGTAATATTGAAAGAAGTAGCAAATATTCTTTCAATATTTATGACTCCTTATATATTACAAATTTCATACCTTTTTGGTTATTATATATTTCTTGCTTCAATAATTTGTACATTAGATATTCAAGAAAAGATGATAAATACCGTTACTTTACTTCAAGTACTTCAAGTTTATCAATTACGTAAAAAAGAACATGGAATTTACGAATATATTATCAATTTTATTGATAAAGCAAAAACTTCCAATATTCAAATTCCACCATCTTGTAATTGTCAAAATTCCGATTCAAGAACGAATAATGGTTGGTGTGAATTATGTGGAATTGGTATGGTTCCTGGTGTAATACTTCCTTCTTGGACTAGTGGAAATTCGGAAATCAACAAAATTATTTTTAATTCACAACTTGAATCTAAACATATGTTTGATCATATTGAATGGATTAATTATGATAGATTCAGAGATATTAAAGAAATTAAAAAAGGTAGATTCGATTGTATTTATTCTGCTATTTGGATTGATGGACCAATGCCATTATTCGGTATGGCGAGGAATGGAGCTCAGAATGTGATCATTAAAAGTCTTGGAAGATCACCATCTGATATAACTCCCGAATTTCTTCGTGAGGTATATTTAAAAAATAATAAATATATCTAACTGTATGTATATTTTCTATTGTATATATATATATATATAAATTTATCTTTGTCAATATACCATATTACAGCTTAAAGAATACGTCAAACTCGTCACTTCGTATACGGAATTACGTTACGAATTACTAGGATCCGTTCAATTATATGGCTTAACTCAAGATACAACTACAAAAGAATACATGTTGGTAATGGAGTACATTAAAAATGGCAACTTACGAAATTACCTTTTTCAAAATTTTAAAAATATGAAATGGGTTGATGATAAATTAAAAATTCTTATTTCTATCGCAAAAGGATTAAAATTAATTCATCAATCAGGGTTTGTTCATAAAAATTTACATTCAGGAAATATTTTAATTGGAGAAGACGGTATGGCGTATATTTCAGATTTTCTCATTAACTTTACAAATCGAAACTCTAAAACAACATCGAAAGGAATACATGGAGTACTTCCTTTCGTAGCACCAGAAGGGTTGAAAAGAATTCGATTACACACTAAAGAATCTAATGTATATAGTTTTGGAATTTTAATGTGGACACTTTCATCTGGAAAGCCACCATTTTATGGAAGTCCATTAACAACAAGTTTAGCTTTAGAAATTTGTAGTGGTGAAAGACCTGAAATTATTACACGTGGAACACCAAATTGTTATAATGATTTGATGAAAAGATGTTGGGATTCAGATCCAGCCAAAAGACCAAATATTAATGAAATTTATGAAATTTTGATGGATTGGTATTTTTTAATAAAAAATTATGATGATTTTAAGATAGCAGATAACGAGATGGATAATAAAGAGATTGTGAGGAATCCTAGAGTACTTGAAGATGAGAATGTTTATTATAGTCAATTTATTGATTTGGATGCTATTTCAAAAGAAGAACCATTTGAAGTTTTGGATGATGGTACGTATATATATATTTATTTTAATAATATATTTTATAGTGGATAGTGGATCGTAAAAGAAATGAAAATAAATTAGTAACGATTGAAATTTTTCAGTTACATAAAGTCAAAGTTAGAATATTTATATTTTATTATTAATAATTTCATCGATTATACGATCCACTATGTATTTTTTTTTTCGGGGTATTTAAATTCATATTAACTAATTCATTTCTTCTTTTAACAAAATAATTTATAGAATACTACGATTAAACTTATTCTTTTTGTATTTTATATGCATCATTATTTGTATTATTCATTTTTCATTTGTAGTTGTTATATGCAAATATTTATTGCAGAAAATATACAATGTTCTTTGTTAGATTGTTAGATTATTATATATCTTTACATAGTTTATGAAGAAGAAAAAAAAACTAAAAACATAGAATGATACTGTATACAATAAATCCATTAACCCATTTTAACCCTTCAATAACTAAAAAATATATATATATATATGTATATTCTATTTACAGATTATAAATGATCGTTTTTTTTTTTAACACCAAGAAAAACTTTTTAATATACCGTTTTCACGATACTTATCGATTAAATTTATACACTCTCGAGAAAGTGTGAAAGGGTAAATATCAAATCGTAATGATAATGAAGTTTTTCTATGTTTCCAAATTTCCAAAAATTCAAGTAAATCCATAACATCGAAATTCCATTTACCATTAAATCTCAACTCTATTAAATCATGAGATGCGAATTTTCCCAAAAGTCTTAAAATTTCTTTTCCATTATTATAATCATCATTTTCATTTAATGATTCAAATATGATAGTTTTTAAGCTATCGCAAGAAATCAATAATTGTTTAATATCCAAAATAACATGACGAGAACTCCAAATTGTGACATATTGTAATGATTTGTTACAATTTTTAATTATAGAATGTAGATAAGGTTGAATTTCTTCGGGCAATACGGTACACCAATGATTAATATTTATTTTTTTTAAAGAGTTTTTCGTAGTTGAGATTAGATTTGTATAAATATAAAAAGGTGTAACTTCATCAAATTTAACATCCAAGATTTCGAGATTTGGTAAATTCACGGATTTTAAATAATCGTAAGACGATTGAGATTCTGTTAAATCTAATTCTAATACTTTTATGTTTGGTAAATAATGAAGTGTTTGTGGTAAAATACAAATATTGTTTATTAATCGGATACAAATCAATGAGCCCGAAAGGGTGGTAATCGCATTGCTGATTAAAGGAACTTTGAAATCTCGATATGGACTTTGTATTTTTAATTCTTTTAAATGTTTTTGAGATTTAATTAAAGTTGCTAAACCTTTATTATCATTATCACATAGATTAATGTTTATTATTTGAATGTGATGACAAATTTTTGAAAGTTCTAAAAATGTCTTTGAAGAAATATCAGCGTTACATTCTAATTCATAAAGATTTGATAAACTTGAAGTAGCACCAGGGCAATCTATAAGTGGGACATCCAAAAGTTGAAGATATTTAAGAGAATAACATCTTTCAAGGAATGATTTATAAATTTCTTTTTCTACAAGATCTTCTTTATGAGCTCTTTCAATATTACTCAGTGGAATTAAGTCAAGAATTTCTCTTCTGACTCTATGAATTCCTTTAAGCGAAAGGGATTTACAGAACGCCAAATAGTTACATCTTGGGGATGATAATTGAGTCAAAGGTTGAATTTCGACACCATTTCGTTTCAAGCTTTGCCTAGAAGTATCAGAAATAAGAGATATCAACGTTCTAGTTATTCGAGTCCAAGAATTTACGCGTTTATATTTAAGTTTTAAATCGAGGTCCCACGGATTTCTCCATAAAATTCGAATTACAATTTGACAACATAACTTGTTAACTAATAGACAAGAAAATAAAGAATTTGTGTCATCCGACAAATAGTTAAAAATATCCTCGAGACAATCTGCGGGTAATTGAGGAGATAAATTTTGTGAGCATGGGTATGGTTTAATAGAATTATCAAATAAGTTTGTTAGGGTTTTTCTCAAACGTTTTTCCATTTTTTTTTATTTTTTGGAATCAAAAAAGAGGCGGATAAGGCTTTTATATGTAAACAAGTAATCAAATTTTTTTAGCCATTTCCTAAAATGTACTAATTATTTTCGCGTCTGATGAAAGATTTATAAAAGAATACATCAGCAGTCCAATTCAGTTCAATTCGTATTGGTGAGTGGGTCGAGAGTACGAAATGCAATTTCAGGGAGAGTGTATTACATTTATACATGTTTGTAGAAGTTAAAATTTCAATTTTTCAAACCATCTTACTATATTTGGACAGTTTTCCCCACATTAGGAGAAATTTTACAAAACAACGACGCACTCTTTATTTTAACATAATCAACTTTATGCATTGGTTTGTTATGAATTAATGGTTATCTCAAGGTCGTACGTGGCAAAGTTTTCAAATTTGGCACTTTTTGGGATTTCGTGTTTATATCGAACTAAATCTCTTTGTAATCAAACATATTCTTCTATTCATGCTATTCATGCGTATTCAATTAACATTAAACGTTTAAGTTTGTTGTGTACTTTGATATCGCTTCTATTTTTGATAAACAAGCGAATCACGAAATTAAGAAACTTGGTTATATATGCGTTCACTTTAATAAGAATATACGTATAAATTAGTTGTAATATTTAATATCAGATATGTTACTCGAAAAAAAGGCCAATGAAATTTGATAGAGCTCAATGGATAAATATCCGTTGGGGTTCTTCTTCTTTGAATCCATTACCTAATCCGCTGATTTTTACCAACTTAGATAAATCTATATTTGTATTAGTTAAAATAGTTAAAGTGACATTATAGTTATTAAATGTTTAGGTAAAGTAATACAATCTAAAATCTGAAGGTTTTCCAGATCATATGATTTAATATGCTTATCTACCAATAAAATTGTAAGAATAGGTAAACGTGAAAAATACGGACCCAGGTACCCCGGGTATTTTCATAATTTAAATTTGTACCCGGGGTACTTCTATATGGGGGGTACACTGTATAGAGTCAATATGTTTTACTATATCTACCTGCCATGATATATATAGTGTATATAATACATGTGTACCCGGGTATAAATCACCGTCTAGCTCTTGAAACTGGCGGAGGGTACACGGCATGGAGGGGTACCTGGGTCCGATTTTTACGGTAAAACAAATGTTAGTGTCAATTGAATCCTATGATTTTGATACAATAATAGCATGAACTGATACTTGTTATTGCCGTAATTAGGTTACTATTGTCCTGTCTCTGTTGTAATATTCAAAAATGTTGAAATGCAGTAAGCTCGGCTTTGATCACATGTACATATAAAAATTATTGGACGTAATGTTTAGCCCATAAGAACCTTATTTACTATTTTATCTTTACATTATAAAAACTTTTAGATGTCAAAATGTTCTCGTGTCACGAACTCTAGATTCTAGATTTAGGCATGTAGCGCAATGTACTACGTTGTAATTAATAGACGAAACATAACAAACGCCTTAAATAACACCGTTTAAAAATCTAGGTATATATGGCTACACTGTGGAATTTGAAATAATTCTCGATAGTTCGACTATAAATTATTACTCAATGATATTTTGCAAGCAAAGTTTACTGTAAAATGGTGTAAAGCATAATTCATTTGAATACAATCTTATTTTTACCCATTAACAATAAAGCCAAAATTTTGGCTAATTAAATCATTCTTAATTTATTTTAAGCTTCGTTGGTAGCCATCGTCACTTGTAAGTAACGTTCCTAAACATTTTTGCTTGCGATTTTTTCATCATTTCATCACAAAATTAAAAATATCATGCATAAAAACTTGATTCTGTTTAGTGCCATTCTTGTTTGATACAAGTATTTATTGGAGGTAAAAATTTTACGCTATACATTTTCTGAGGTTGAAAGCCTGTTGATACTCCTGACTATACTACAGTACTATTATACTAATCATGCAGCTCTATTTCGTTTCGAAAAGAATCGTAGATTTAGAAATCTGAATTAGTATGACATAAAAGCTTCTACATTTAGAATCGTGTAATAGAATTAAATGTTGGTAAATATTAGATTATGTTTTATCGTTATCGTAATACACTAATCTTTTGTGTATAAAATTGCGTAAATAATAAACAAGCAATGACTCAAAGGAAATCAACTTGGGAAGTTGGTGTAGCGAATAGTTTTCTTGTTAAGTCAGTTGTATGTACAGTACAATTACGCCATCCACGAAAACTAAACAAATGTGGGAACTGGTTGCTATGTTAACTACCGTTTAGCATAGACATAATCTCCCGAAATAATATCTTACCACATAAAGTATCACTTTCTCCACCAATGAAATCATTCGATCCGTAAATATAGCGAATTATATAAATTTAAAAAATTTATTTCTTTATAACCGGAGTTCGTTATAGAGCTTATTTTAGAATTGACTACATCTGATATGCGTGTATATACAATATACAGTGTGGCGATCAAAAATAATTTAGCAAGTTATATCATATTATTTCACGAATTCTGGACGTACTGTATCTTTATTTTATTCATAAATATATAGTGTAGTTTTCACATATAAGAATTTTAGAAGATATTAAAGAGCCAAATTTTTACAGGCACGAGCTTTATCCTTGTTTAAACATACTATGGAGAAGAACCGATATCACGTGACCAAGAGCGGCCAAAATTTTAAAATTTTTTTATTATAAAAATTTTTGTACTGTATAAAAAATCAGCCAATTAAATTTTAGCAGTTATTAGATATTTTTGCTAATATCTTAGTTCTAATAAATTAAGAAAAATTTTTCTGTAAAAATATAATATAAAGCATAAATAATTAATTTACAAAAAACTTTTTTTATTATAATATTGATATGATTAGTTATAGTCATTTTTATTTTACATAGTTCTAAGAAGTTATGTAATGTCAGTTTTAGACTATATGCACTATATAAAACCAGTAGGTATGTTTAATAATTACTAGATAAATGGAAACCATTTAAGGTCTGAAAGATTTATCATAGATTAATTTGTTTTTATCAATCAACCAATCAAACTTCTTAATTTGCAAACATATACACAACTAGGTTACTATGACTCTCCTATAATGTTCTTCAAACAATAATAAACGTGCCAATTTGTTTTTTATATTATACCTAATCTAGCCAATAAACATTAATCTAACCAATTAGGTTTCAGAATTTGTTAACACACAGATATCAGGTGTATTATTGCTCTACCTGCAGTGTTCTTTAGACAATTACTGTATTTTTGTGTAATAATATCTATCTCTTAATTAGTAAAGATTTGCAGACAAATTTGCCTGTATAATTACTATAAATATGTCTCTGATCTACTTTTTTAATTATTTAAAATA